CTTAGAGTAGGATTGGGCCCATATCTTTACAATCTCCACCTTGGGCCCAAATCCATACTCCACTACGACACCATCTTGACTCCGTCGCTTTGAAGATCCCAGTGACTCGTACGCAACCACAACCTCCACTCTTCTCCGCTCCGGTTCCTTTGCCAAGCACAACTCGATACTTCATAAGCTCCGCCAAGCTTTCCTGCCGTTTCAGCCAACTGATATGTCATCCCTTTTCCTCAGATGTGAAGCTTCCCTGATGACACTCCACCTCGCCGGTGTGATCCCGACCGCAACGTTTCCGTTTCGATCAGAACTCGCCTCCACCACTTCTCCCTGAAAATCACCGGAGTTCACGCCGTGATCCAACTCTCCGGGAATAGCTTCAGCGTTGTCTCCACCTAGACAGCCCGAGTTCAATTAACGTATCATGGCGACTTATCTAGTGGCTGCCTTCCAGCCACAGTTTCTTCAGTTCCCGGTGATTCCCTTTTGTTCCTTCACTAAGTCCGACCATCAATGAACGTATCATGGCGACTTATCTAGTGGCTGCCATCAGAAACCACTACCGAAAACGGCACCACATCCGCTTGTAAGCATCTTCACCTAAACCTTGCATCTTCATCTTTATGTTTCAGACCGTGAAACATACTTTGTCGCTCCTGGAAACAAGTTCCATTCTTCCTGATATCTCTGCTCCACTGTAGTCTCCTATCGGACCAGCTGCTTTACCTTGGATGGCCATTCCTTAGTATCCTCAGCTGATGCGTTCGTCCATAAGAAATTCTTGATTCACGTCACCAAGTTTTACTGCAGATATTCCTGGTGAGTTCTTAAATTTCTTACCACGTTTGCTCAGACTTTGTTGCTTGATATCTTATAGCGATGCCCATCCTGAATTTTCTTTGTTTCTTTTGCCATAGAAACGATTTATTAAATCCCTTTTGTTTGCCCACTTTTGACAGCTTTCTCCATTTGATATACGATGTTCTTTCAACTTGCTTAAGACGATGACTTCCTTGTGCTTGTTTGGCGATCCCGTTGTGCTTCTCCTGTACCAGAGATACTCGTCTCCCTTCACCATTACCGGTGTTTAAGACGTTCTCTCCTTGTTCTCTCCTCCCCTTCTCTTGTAACCTGAGATACTCGTCTCCCTTCACCATTGCTGGTGTGTAAGACGTTCTCTCATGCCCGCTTGAACAACCTTCCATTTCCTCCATCCGATGTTCTTGAGACTTATTAGCAATTTTCCTATGTTTTAGCTGCTCCACCTTGAGCTAAAACATCCACCTCGTCTTATCCGTCACAGGTAACGTTTCTTGCTCCTTACTAGCTCTTTATTATCGACAAAAATAACAGTAGTCCCTTACTCATTATTTCTTCTTGTGCGAGGTGTGTCGATAATAAAATTACCTGTGACGCTTTTATCCTATTAGTGGACATTAGGAAGTTCACAGCAACGCTGCAACTTCTGATCAGGTGCACTTTCTGTTCTCCCCTCTACATGATTAGCCGTAGTACCTATCTTGTTTGATACATCTTCCTTCCTAGTTGTTGTAATGATAGAATCGACTTCTGCATCACTAACCTTGAACTGAAACCCTGTCGTCGATTCATCCTCATCTAAGCTTGTTGCATAATCTGAGTTTGAAAAACTTTCAATGCAAACCTCTGAATCTTTCTTGAACTCGTCAAGCCTTTGATTCTCTTTTGATGATGCTTTATCATTACTTTTTCCTTCCAACTTTGAAAGACAATAATCATCTAGAAACTTCCCATTATCAGCTTCTTTTCTTGACTCAAATTTTTCTATTGAAAAAGAGTCTCCACCTTGAGCTGATGACCTTTCTTTTCTAAACCCATATGGACTTGGTCCCTGAACTAGTTTGTCGCTGAAGGACACCTTCTTTAATTTCTTTTGTCTAGCTTCCTTCTCAGCTTTTGGAATATCCACTTTACTCTTCACAACCGTTCCTTGTAGAAAATACAACCCATCTTTGTATTTTCCTGAGATTATTTTCTTCTTAGCTTTGTAGAACTGAACCTTGAAGCTGCGTCCTACGTAGCTGCAACCTGATTTTTCTAGCATCCCATAAGAAATCAGATTTCTACTCACTTCCGGCATGTATTTAACATCCTTGAGTATCACTTTAGAACCATCTGGATTCTGTATCTGAATCTTCCCCGTTCCTTTGATGCTACCTCTAGTGTTATTAGCCATTAATACACTTCCCCCGTCGTACTCCTTGAAATCAAATAAGACTTCTTTATCAGGTGTACTATGGAATGAACAACCTGAATCCATGATCCATTCCTTGCGTGTATCTCGCTTGCTAACAGTTAACACCAATGGCTGTACAGGCTCCCTTGTAAAATTTGCAGAATTTGGACGTCTTCTTCTTTCAGGACATTCCCTCTTCCAATGGTCTTCTTTTCCACAAATAAAACAACCCGTGTTGTTCTCATCAGATCTCTGATCCGACTGAAACTTCCCTCTGCTTTTAGATCTCCCTCTCCAATTATTATTATTATTCCCTGGCTTCTTCTGAGTTCTTCCTCGTGACTCAACATACAATCCTTCCGAAGCTGGTTTACTTTTATTAAGTAATCCTTTTTGCTTAAGTTCCGCTTCTTTGGAATAAGCTGAAGTTACAACTTCGTTTACGGTAAGCGTTTCTTTCCCAGTTCCGTACTGGAGTGTGTGAACCAATTGTTCATATGCTTCTGGAAGTCCCGACAATAGTTGAATTGCTTGATCTTCATCTGATATAGTAACTTTGAGACTCTCCAAGTCTGCAATAAGTTTCAGAAAGATATCTACGTTTTCTTCTATTGTCTTATCCTCTTCCATCTTGTAGCAAGAGAATTGTTTCTTCAAGTAGATTCTGTTGGGAAGAGACTTTGTTTGATAATTCTTTTCGAGGGCCTTCCACATACCTAATGCAGTTGTTTCATGCATAATCTTCCTTAGAATAGAATCACTCAAACACGCTCCCAAGAGACTTCTTACTCTCAGATCCTTATCAGCCTTTTTCTGATCAACCTTTGGATCCGTTCCTTCTACTTCTTTTCCAGATTCTGTCAAGACCGTAAAATCTTCCTTAAGAACCGAAAGTAGACCTTGGATCTCCAGCTGTCCCATCATCTTGAACTTCCACATCCCGAAGTCACCTTTGCCATCAAACTTCTCCATCTCAAACTTTCCTCGAGTTGGTTCCATAATTCTAACTAGCACTTCCAATCAAACCTGGATTGCTCTGATACCACTTGTTAGGATTTAAACCTACTTTGTGCTATAGAATTTGGAATAAACTTGATGCCAAAAACCTATCTTTATTCACTCTTTCAAGAATAATGTCTCAAGAACAAACTATAAAGATCACAAGATAAACCAAAGCAAAAACCTCTCTTAATTTGCTAATCTCTCTTGATCTTTCTTTATCTCTCTTATTGCTCTTGCCTCTCTTNTGATTCAAAACCTTTAGCACACCTCTTTATTTATACTGAAAGCTATTGCCTTTTCCTAATCACATTAGCTTTTTGTATATTTTCCTTTTCTTATACGGCATATGTTCACGAGACCGTCATTCACATGATCAGAAACTTGCCGACAAAGAAATCCTTTGCTATTGGGCTTAGAGTAGGATTGGGCCCATATCTTTACAATGTGATAAATGTGATCCTTAGTTTGAGGGGGAGAATGTGAGATAACAAACTAAGTCCCACATTGGAGAATTAGACAAGGAGAGTCTAATATATAAAGAGATGTCCAACTCTAATAGTACGAGGCCTTTTGGAAAGGAACCCAAAAACAAATCCGTGCGGGCTTTACCTCTTGGGCCCAAAGCGGACAATATCGTACTAATAAGAAAGGATAGAGTTGGACATGGGCTTTCACATTCCCAACAGAAGAAAATGTGACGAACTCGGGTTTACGGAATCTCTTCGACGTCGTTCAAAAATAAGTATTCCCGTCGTGCTCTTGTACTCTTTCTCACTCTCTTTCTATCTCTGCCCAAAGTGGAATCCTTAAGATATATGTGGATGATTTTCGTTAAATGGTCAACTTTTTCAAAATAAAATTAAAAGAAAAAATTGAACAAAATGATCTATGTAGTACCAGTTTATGGTTCCGTATTTCAGTTTAATTCTTTATTTGTACAGCTCACTATACAACTTGTAAATGTTTTCTTAATTAACTAGGGGAATAATATATATAAAAAATAAGTTTGATATGAGTATTCAAAAATACTCTAGTAACGCTAAATTTTATTATTTTTTGCTATTTTTCTTAGATACCATAGGTATATTTCACTATTAAAAAGGTTCATGAAAACAACTTTTTACATATTTATTCAATATTTATTCTACCTTAATTATGATATTAAGTAGTTTAAAAAAAAAAAACTTGCGATCATTGGGTTAAATAAGCAAAACATGAATTATTTTTCATTTTGTATGTTTGTTTACTGCACCACAGCTTGTAGATGTTTCATTAATAACATTAAATATTTTGATAACAAACTTCCTTTATCTTCAGTCTCTTGCTTGTTCGTAAAAGGAAGCTCCTGAGTTCGTTCAAGTTAACCATTGTATGTTTTTCTTAGTGAATGGTGAAATTTTATGTTGTGAACTAGTAGTAACAGTTGCACATGAAGAAGAAAGAATAGATGGTAATTAATTAAGACAAATCACATTTTGAGTTGATGATACAGTTTAATGGAGTTAGAAGAACAAGCTTACAAAATTGAAGAAGATGGTTGAAGAAGTGTGGCAGATACTTTAGCTCAGCAGGAGAGATTTAATCAAAAAATATGTTATTTTTTTTTCCCAAAAATATGTTATTAGCATGTGAGATACATGTAGGTTGGTAAAACCACATCTACAGAAGCTTTAATATGTTCACAGCATCCCAAAACGTAATGAGAATCCGGAAAAGAGGATGTTTTTTGGAAAATTTTCAGCATAAAGATAAAAAGAGAAGGAAAAAAAAAACTAAATCCTTAAAACTATTCGCCATTATCCCTCTTTCGCTTACGTATTGTAGCAGTGTGAGAGTATAGTGAGGTTGTATCTATCATCTCAGTTTTGGGAGGACAAGGTACTGATTCCATCCACGTTGGGAGAACGAATTGGAATAAGGTGACTGCCGCTCCATAACCCCAAATTGATCCATGAATAAGATCCATATACTCCCCAATAAAAGAGTTGTTCACAAAACAATCTTGATGATCATCATTACCATAGCACTTTGATGAGGTTTGTGTCCGCAAGTTACATGCCACCAAGTAACGGTTTGTCAGACTCCATACATAGACAATATTGCTATCCAGTGGATGCATTGCCATAGGTGCATAATAACCGATATCAGACCATGGGATAAATGTGAGGCGGATTTCCCACAAATGTTGCCAACATTCTTCATTGTTTTTCAACCTCCATACCTTCAAAACATCGCCTACCTCTTGCCCTAATGTTTTGATGTACATGACAAACCCTCCGGATGTAGAAAAGGCTCTTTTGTACTTTTGATCCGAATGATCTGGGAGAGGTATAACCAAGAACTCATCGGATTCAGAATAGAAATCATGAGCCAAGAGTACTCCAGGATCAGGAAGCTCAAAATCTATTTGGGATAAAACATAAAGCGTGCCATTCAGACTCATGGGATGCTGGTAAGGGATGTAACAAGGGCAGTGAAGCTTCTTGGAAGTCCAAATCCCTTTCTCAGACGAATATATATGAAAATTCGTACAATTCATAGATCTTATCCCAGTCCTTACGACTTTAAAATCAAAACGACTCTGTCCTCGTCCAAGCGCGTCACCAAACCAAACATAGCAGAAGCTTCATAAGGACAAGAAGTGATTTCAACCCACTGTTGTAATAATGGATTACCAACAAAGGAGCCATAACCAGTTCCTACCATCAAAACCAATCCGTTGGAAGAAGCAGAACTAGCGAACGCACTGATCGTAAGATCATGGAAGGGTGGGATGTAAGAAGCAAGAGACTTTGGAAGATCCCATGTGTCGCAACCATGGAATCCCATGAGCTATTTTCCCTTGAATCCCGCAGAGATTAGGGACCAAGAAGAAGAGGAGTTTTGGTGCAAAGACACAAAGAGACGGCGAAAATAAGCTAATTCTATAGCCGACTCCCATGTTTTGCAAACCGATTTGAATCTAGAGATGCTTCTTAAGGGTAACCTTGCTAGTATCTCTATTACTATAGCTTCTGAAAGATGTGTGGTGTTGGTTGGTCTCTCCATTGGAAATTGCTTCTCTCGATGGATTAGGGTTTAACTTTTGTTTCAACTTCTCTCGATATAAATAAATTGTTGGTTCAACTTCGAGATAGAGAGAGAGAAGACGGATTACTGTTCGTTGGTTAGATATAAATAAAGATATTTGTTTTTTTTTTGTTTTTATATTAATTTTGCAATGCATCACCACTAGCAGAATTTATTAGGCCCAATGTATTAATCGTTAGAACATGTACATTAGTGAACTTCTTTTTAGGGTTTAAGTTTTTAATATTTTATTATTAATTTTTTTTTTCTGTTTGATTAATCGAATCTATCGTGGACCGCCACGTGTCCTGAGGTCCACAAAATAGTGATGAACTCACCAGCAAGAAGTTCACCCGAGAGAGCTAAGGAGAGAGAAGTTCATATAAGTGGGATTATTTTAATATTTTTTATCGTGAGAAACGTGTGTACTCCTTTGTGAGCTCTTAATGTACCTTCTCTTACAGCTATAATGCCAAAATTCCATTATTTTACGACCAAAAGAATTTTTGACAGGAACAATGAGCACCATTATTTTAAGACCAAAATACGTTTTGGTTCTCGTGTTCGGGTTACTCGGTTCCAAAAATTCAAACTGGAACTGATCCAAAAATTTATGATCCAAAACTGAACTGAAAATTTACAAGTGTCTAGTTGGATCCACAATCTTCTACTTGAGAATCAGAACCGAAAAAAACCAACCCGTATAGATCCAGATCCAAAAGAAACCGACCCGAATAGATCCGATCCACTAAGAACCAACCCGAAGAGATCTGATCTGTTAAGTACCGATTAATATACGAGGAATATCTACAACTACGACTTATGTGTTCTATTTTCTATATTTAATTTATAATTTCATGAACATATCTTCTGTTAATTAACTTTATTATTAGTTAATACTGAAAATAAAATACAAAATGAATCAATACAATTAAAATAGGAATTTTTATGAAATTACCAATACTCTTCCTTGGTATATTATTTTTATGCTATTAAATTTGCCTTAAAACTTAAACTCTAGAAGGATAGTTTAGAAAATGAAAGAATGACCACCAAAACTACCTAAATGACTAATTTTATGCCAATTAATTCTACACTAAACCATTACAAATACATTTTTAAACAAATAAATATATATTGATGCCAAAAAAATAAAATAAATACATATGAAATGTGAGATAATAAACAAAGTCTCACATCAGAAGTTTAAATAAAAAGCGTCTAATATATAATGAGAAGTCTAACTCTAATAGTACGAGGCATTTTGGGAAGAAAACCAAAAGTAAATCCATGAGGGCTTGCCTATTAGACCCAAAGTGGACAATATCGTATTAATATGTGAATATAAAGTTTGACATGAGCCCTCATATATTTCAACAATTGGTATCAGAGCGGTTTGACGAACATATGTAAAAATCCTAAAACACCCTTTAAGATATGAATGGAGATCCTTCAAGTAGGAAGAGGTGGTCGTGGCATAAACTGTCAGGAGATTATTGAACCTGTGATGTTGTTGGAAAAAACATTCTCAAAGGAAGCCATGTGATTACTAGTACAAAGTGAAGCCAGATAATTTTCTAAAGGAAAAACACAAGAGATAAATGTGATCATTAGTTTAGGGGGGGGGAGGGGGAGAATGTGAGATAATAAATAAAGTCCCATATCGGAAGTTTAGACAAAAAAAAATTGATGTTTGGTCTGGTGTATGATTCTGAATTTCCTATTGTATAATCGATGTTTCATGTTTGCAGCTGCATCTCCGAGAGCAATGATTCAGAGGCTTTGTAATTCATACATAATATGTGTGATTGTGATTATTCCTTTTGGTGGTGCTTTTAAATTTCAAAACATCTTTAGCTTCTGATTTTTTTTTTTGTTTAAATAAAAACTACGTATGTAAGAATTGACTACGCTTTTTTCTTTACCATCGGATTAACTACGCTTTAGCGGATCCAGTAAACTGGTCGCTGTTTACACAAATTAGGATGCTCTCTCTTCAGTGTTTTCCATTTTTCCTGTTTTTGGTTATTTTTTCAGCAACAATAATACCGTCTTTCAGATTTAATATTTTTAAAAGAGGGTTGACATCAACTTTCGTATTCAGCTAACCAAACTGCACAACTGCATGTTTGCATAGTAAAACATATATCACGTAAACTTTGCATTGGTGTTCCCTCTTTTACGTCCATTATATTAATTACTGAATTCAAAAAGTAAAAGCCATAAAGTATTCAATGTCAATTACTAATGAAATAATTTTAAAGGTTTACTTAGTGATATGAGTTCATATTCACAACCAATTTGTTCACGTTTCATTCTACGCTTCTATTTTATCTACTACAACCCCACATCATATGATTTTCTTTTATAAACCACCCCACATCATATGGTTTTCTATTATAAACCACCACGACTATACTAAACAAAATATTTGACTTCACTTCCTAAAACATTTTTAAACTACAACAACACATGTATTTGTCAACATTCCGCGCTTGCGCGGAACTACGCTCCTAGTATGAAAAATAGGGAGATTCCATAAGAATAAGAAAGGAGAGAGAGAAGAAAAAAATTCAACAAGAGAATTATTCTAAATACTAATTTCAACGAGATCCAAAATATTAATTAGACACTAAACATAGATGTATCTTAATGATCAAGATTGAAAGAAGATGTATCTTAATAAGTATTCATCGAAAATTAAAATATTAACTAGAAACTATAAACATAGATGTATCTTAATTCTCAAGGTTGAGAGAAGAAGTGAATAATAGATTCATTGTCCTCTTCGCGTTGTAATAATGTGGCATTTGGAAGGACAGACAATGTTTACGATGGACATGTTGGGACTCAGTTTTATATGTTGAAATTTGCTGAGAAAAATAATGTGTATCAATTTCTAACCAGTCAACCATTTCAAAATTGTTGATCATGGTTGTATCTGCTATAACCATGCTTATTTGTTTTTTTTTTTTTTAAATGCTAAGACCATTGTTCCTGCATTTTTTATGACAATCATTTAGTTTAAGTTCTGAGAACTTACCAGAAAAGAGGTTGGATGTTGAAACCTCTAGGTTTTATCTTTCTAGTATGGCTATAGATAATGAAAGTCTCAAGTCAAATCTGATTTCATTTTCATCTTTATCATCTTCTTCCATGAAATCCAGAACATGTCTCGTTCTTGTTGGGGATGAATTACATCACTCGACTAAAATCTCATTGGTTATTTTTCATCTGGATGCAAAACAAATCAAATGTGGAGATAAAACCACGACGATCATCCTCTTCTAATTTTTCTCTTTTACAGTAATTAGTTGTCTCATCTCACCTTTTGTATTGTTAATGTGTCTCTTGGGTCAGATTTTCAGAATAGGTATAAAACACAAGAAAATTGGTTTTGATGTCAAGACTTTGAACCATACAAAGTATGAACAAATAACTGCCACTGCTTAATGGTATTTCTGAGAGATTTGAAATAAGGTGATGGAGACTGGGAGCATCATCGGCCTGAAAGAGGTGTTCTACTCTATTTTTTATTTCTTCAAATTATATACAACAATAACTAACATAATTTCATATCAGTTAGCTGAGGAAATTTTAGTGTATCTCAGGGAAGGCAAAGCATATTGTAACACCCCAATTCTACGTTAGATAACTTATTTAGAAGAATGGATTTAAGAAACTTTATACCTAAGTCATTAAAGCTCATTAAAAAGGAAAAAAAACCTAAAACAAAAAGGATTTTTGTGTGCACATGTGCATAAGAAAGAGCAATCATCTACGTTTTGTTATCATCTTTGATGTGTTGTTGTTGCCTCGAGACTTTCAAATACTGATTCGCAAACACTGACAAAGGAAAAATGGAGTATGTGGCGAGAGAAGCAATTAAAGGGAAAGAAAGGTGAAGAAGAAGGAGGCACCTAGATCAGATCCAAGGTTTTTATTTACAGAGAACATCTCAAAAAAGCCAAGGGAACTTTTGTAGGTATTATCAGAACTAAAACAAGGCCACAATTGTCAACACTTCTTGGACAAGAAACCTATGTAAAACTGCAACACGAACTTAAAAATATAAGTGTGTGGAAGAAACTTTGGGAGTGTGTTCCATATAAACTAAGGAGAATCGGATCAAGAACTAGTTGTCTATGGAAAGAATATATTTCACAGAATTCATATGTTGATGGATTATCATTACAAGTTAAACTCTATCCAGAATTTGATCTGCAACTTGAGAGAAAGTCATTGTTTCCTGAACTCATAAACTTGGATTTTCACAAACTGTTTTTCAGTTTCATGGAAGCGTTTTTCAAGGCAGTTAACGGCAGATCAGAGAGATTCAGATGGTGATAAGATGCGTATGGAAATTTGTTATGCATAAAATGCTTTTGTTAAGTTGATCCAAAATCATTTGAATATGCAATAATCTATAAAACTGTTCTGTTGCGAATGTGGAAGGTTCATTCGTAATCTGATCTACTTCTAACTTTGTGTCTATGTATAGAAAATTGCATTCTCAATATTCAACGGTGGGTTTGAAAAATGAACGGTCAGTTTATTAGTTATTCACGGCTTTCTAAACCAGTTTGGTGCAGTGTAAAACATAGTGGTATGTTTGATGAATTGTCTTGTATGGTTGGGAAAATGAGATCGGGTTAACACAAATTCTACAAAAGAAGCTATTGTTTAATAGTTTATATTGGGATTTTTAACATAAAAACCCCTCAACTAAGTTTGTTTTGGGTAAAAACCCCTAAACTAAG